TTCTCATTATGCACTGCATGCTCCAGGATTTTTTTTATATGGTGCACACTGACCACACAGACCCATTCTCTCACATGTGGGCCTACCAGCTTTCTGCTGCTTGATTTGAAGCCACTAGAATTTATGAGTATATATACATCAAACACGGTACTTCGTAAGACATATATATACGACCTCGACAGTCAAAGGGTTAAGAAAAGGTAAAAAAAATTATTGGAGGCATTTTATGATAGATGATTAGGCCTTATGCTCAAAGACTTTTTCTATTTAATAATCTCATGCTCAGCCTAAATTGTCATCAAATTAGCACCTTGGTGAAATGCCATTAGATTCAGCAGAGAAGGAATATTGTACATGGTTCATTAGCTAATACTATAGACAGAGATGCAAGTCATAGCTCCATGTCTTCCTTTGCGGATGACACCCGGATTACCATGGCAGTGACCTCCATCAAAGGCACCGCGAGACTCCAAGCGGACATCAACCAAATCTTCGAATGGGCCACTCAAAACAATATAAAGTTCAACGAGGAGAAATTTCAACTACTCAGATATGGGAAACTTGAGAAAATTAAAAATGTATCAGGGTATACAACAAATTCTAACCATACAATAGAGCAGAAAAATAATGCGAAGGACCTGGGAGGGAGTGATAATGCCAGAGGACCTTGCCTTCGAACACCACAACAATGTATCTACCTCATCTGCTAGGAAAATAGTAGGATGGATAATGAGAACCTTCAAAACTAGGGATGCCAAGCCCATGAAGATTCTCTTCAAATCGCTTGTGCTTTCTAGGATGGAATACTGTTGTACACTAACAGCCCCCTTCAAGGCTGGTGACATTGCAGACCTGGAGAGTGTACAAAGAACTTTCATGGCACATATATGCACAATAAGGCACCTAAATTACTGGGAACAGTTGAAGGTACTCAATCTGTATTCCCTGGAATGCAGGCGAGAGAGATACATGATAATATACACTTGGAAGGTCCTGGAGGGATTGATACCAAACCTGCACACGAAAATCACTCCCTATGAAAGCAAAAGACTTGGCAGAAGATGCAACATTCCCTCAATGAAAAGCGGGGGTGCAACGAGTACACTGAGAGACAACACAATAAGTGTCCAAGGTCCAAGACTTCAACTGCCTCCCAACCTACATAAGGGGGATTACCAATAGACCCCTGGCTGTCTTTAAGAAGGCACTGGACAGGCACCTAAAGTCAGTACCTGACCAACCAGGCTGTGGTTCATATGTCAGTTTGCATGCAGCTAGTAACAGCCTGGTTGATCAGACCCTGATCCACAGTGAGGCCTGGTCTCAGACCGAGCTGCAGGGGCATTGACCTCCGAAACCCTCTCCAGGTAAACTCTAGGTAATAAGGCAATAAGAAATAAAATCTTTATATGCCCTACCATGGGGGGCCATTATTAAAACAAAGTAGCCTCTGAAAAAAAAACTTTACTAAAGTCTAAAAATGGAATGCTTTCAAAGATCACAAAATTAAAAATTTGAAGAGAACACTGAGTTGCAGGTTTGTTCTATCTTTAAAAAACTGAAAAACTAGGCAGTGATATACCTGTGACTGCAAGAAAGTTTAAAATATTTTTAAAATAAAAGTTTTTAACCATACAAGATCCCATTTCTGGCATTTTAGGAAAAATAAAAAAAAAAAAAATTTCAGACAAATCAAGAAGCAAACTTTTTGTTATTAGCTAAAATTTCACTTCTAAAGCAATCTCCTGGCTAAGACATCTCTTGAAATAATAGCATTTGCCAGTACAGGTCGGCCATCACTAATCCGGCATCATTGGGACCTGCAGTGTGCCGGATTAGTGAGTTTGCCGGATTACAGATTAGTTAGGTTAGAATACACTTAATTAACCTATCAATACACACTTTCTACTGCATCTTCCTCATTTTCATCACTGCTTTCTCCTCTACTGGCTTTCTGTTGTGGATTTACAACAATCTACACAATTTCTGAGTCAGTATAATGATGAAATTGGAATCGGTATAATGATCCGAGTTAGTATAATGATGAAATTTGAAATTATGCTAGCAAAAATTAGTGCCAGATTACTGATGGAACCGGATAACTAATTGCCGGATTAGTGATGGCTGACCTGTACTTCAAATACAGTGGAACCTCTACTTGCGAGCGTGTCCACGTGCGAGTTTTTCTAAATACGAGCAGTCGATGGGTCGATTTTTTGCTTCCATATGCGAGCAAAATTTCCACAAGCAAGCAGACCTCAAGGCAGGTTCCTTGACACCGGTGAGGGGCTCTTGCTCTTGATCTCGGGAATTGTATCTCATTTGTTTGTTGGACTATCTTATTGAAACTTGGGCAATGTATGATGGAAAGATGCTTCTTAACGTACACCAAAAATGAAAGAAATCTAAGCATAAATAACAGAGTTCACTTCTCAGCAATTAGCCACCCCTTAGCGGTAATTTCGAATGGTTTTTATGGTTGTATTCTCATTTTTTTGGTCTCATTCGATAGAATGGAAGATATATTACAGAAATACATATGATTTTGATTGCTTTCACGATGAAAAGTGCCTTGAAATTGAGCTCAACCTAGGAGAAATGGTCCACTGCTTGGCAGTGTCAGAGTAAACAAATGATGCCACTATCCATTTCAATATGCAGTCGTGAATGGTCGTTGACATTATTTATACAATTATTACAATAAGGAATAACAGTAAATCTTATATCTTTTGTGTGAATAAAAATTACAAATTATTTATATAATAATAATAATAATAATAATAATAATAATAATAATAATAATAATAATAATAATAATAATAATAAAAATAATAATAAAAATAATAATACAGTGGACCCTCGCCTTACAAACGCATCGCATTACGTTAAATCCGCCATACGAAGCATTTGAACGCAAAACTTTTGCCTTGCCATACGTGATTCGTCCGGGACACGTCCCACGTGTGGCCTCAGAGCCCGTGTTTACAAGCCAGCCAGTGCAATCGCATCTACGCATACATTCGGTACATTTCACATTATCCCAGTGTTTTTAGTGCTGGTAACTGCAAAATAAGTCACCATGAACCCCAAGAAAGCTTCTAGTGCCATCCCTGTGGTAAAAAGGGTGAGAATTAGTACGGAATTGAAAAAAGAGATTAAGGAAATGTGTGCAAAAGTGGGTTGAACTGCAAACCTTTACGGATGAAAATCACCCTGACACAGCTACTGCAAGCCGTATTGGCAACCTGTACAATGACAATGTTATGGCCCATTTTAGGAAAGTCTTAAAGGAATGGGAGGTACAGAGCTCTATGGACAGATTTGTTGTGCGACAGAGGTCCAGTGACTCTCAAGCTGGTTCTAATGGCATTAAAAGAAAAAGAGAAGTAACCCCTGAAAAGGACTTGCTACCTCAAGTCCTAATGGAAGGGGATTCCCCTTCTAAACACTAACTTCCACACTCTCCCTTCCTCCCATCCCATCAATCATCACCAGATCTTCAATAAAGGTAAGTGTCATGTATTCTATTCTTAGTAGAGTAGTAATTGTGCATGTCTTCTTCAGTTTGTGTGTATTAAAATTAATATTCATGAGGTAAAAAAAAATTTTTCATACTTTGGGGTGTCAGGAACGGATTAATTTGATATCCATTATTTCTTATGGGGAAAATTAATTCGGCTAACAATAATTTCAGCTTACGATGAGCTCTCAGGAACGGATTAATATCATAAGGCGGGGGTCCACTGTAATAATATGTATAATAATAATACATATAATAATAATAGTATAATAATATAATACAATAATAATAATAATAATATGTATAATAATAATACATATATAATAATAATGTACTACGTGTAATAATTATAATAATAGACGGCTTCAAAAGGCCGTCACTAGATGGCAGTGTTTACCACAACAAAGAGGGAGTGGTTGTAGCCACCTCCACCTGTTACATAATGACATTTTATTCATTCTAGAGTATTTATCATGTTTCTATGTTATTTATATTGTGTGTTATGTCATATTAGATGAACTGTGATAGATAAATAAGCCATATAGATGATATCAGCAAAATTATTCATGAAGTATTTTGCCCGGTCTCCAGACACTCTCTCGTCCACCGCCGACACCACCCATACCACTACATGAATGACATATTTTATTCATTTTAGAGTATATATCAGGTTTCTACATTATTTATATTGTTTATTATATCATATTAGATGAAGCAAGATAGAAAAATAAGCCATAGAGTTGACATTAGCAAAATTATTGAAGTACAGAATTCCACTGGAACGGATTAATTCCATTTCAATTAATTTAAATGAGGAAAATTGACTCTGCAAAGGAGCAAATCCAGTTGCGAGAAAGGTCATGGAACAGATTAAACTCGCAAATAGAGGTTCCACTGTATATGAATACAAGATTTTATGTTTTCAATAAGAACACTTAGAAGTACAAATGATGAAAGTAGATAGTTTAGAGCCTGAATGGTGTACATACTCAGCTAGAAAGATGTACAGTCAAAAAACAACGAAACTCTAAAGTTTAAATACTGTACTATACGTATTTGTTTATAAGTAATGAAGAAACACGGAACAGAAAAGGAAGAAATTTAAGAGTAGCAGGTACTGCAAGGACGAACACATTTATTGACAGGATTACAAAAGGGAAACATTACTCAGTGAACATGGAGGTAGGCTTATAGTACTCCTAGCCATGACGAAAGAGTGAAAGACAGGCTTAGAATACAACTAAATATATCAAACCATCAGGCTTTTGCACTGCATTAAGCAAGAAATGGGATGGAGAGAGGAAGATAACTAACCACTCAGAGAGGGAAAGTAGAGGAATACATATAGGAAAGTTTCAGGACATAAGAGGCACAGGACAAACAAGGTGGTCATGTCCACCTCCATCAACTATAGGCAAATATAATATACAAACAGGCAGATGTATATTTGCCAATATGTCTAAAGTTTTTTATTTAATACCTCTCTTATGTGGAAGTGCTGGTGAGATTCTAAAACGAGTGAGCTTCTTTGTAGACATCTGACAAGCCTCATGTTGTTTTCCTCTTCCTCGTGCCTGATCAAGAGAGTGCCACACTCTAGCCATAGCTTTCATGCCTATAAAATAAACAAACATTTAATGTACACAGCTGAACATAGATCAAACATCTGACATACTTTCTAGTCACAGGAAAATTATAAAAAAAATCAACATACCAAACATTGTCGATAATAAGTCACTAAAATATCAAATTCTAAAACTATACTGATACATGGGGGCAGATCAATCAATGGCCAACACCACTGCTTCTTCACTTTTGATGAAACAGAAATAAAATTTCCAAATTTTACCTATAGGCAAAGAGTTATGGCCAGGGTCATTTTGAGATTAATAATTGACCTTGCAAATTTCAAAAAGCCATAACCTTCTTCCTGTTGGTCATAGCCCTATAAATGCATACTGAATTAGCACGATCAGGAGATTCTTAACCCTTTCAGGGTTTCCGACATACTATTACGGCTTACGCACTAGGGTTGACGTACTAGAATGCCTAAATTCTAGCGCCTTCAAATCTAGCGAGAGAAAGCTGGTAGGCCTACATATGAAAAAATGGGTCTGTGGTCAGTGTGTGCAATATAAAAAAAATCCTAGAGCACACAGTGCGTAATGAGAAAAAAAAAATTTGACCGTGTTTTTGGATTAAAACAGCGACTTTGCACTGTATTTTCATATGGTATCTATGGTTGTATTCTAGTTTTCCTGGTCTCGTTTTATAGAATGGAAGACATATTACAGAAATTGAGATGATTTTGATTGGTTTCACAATGAAAAGTGAACATTAAAATGGTTGTTAGGTAAGACACATATGCAACAGTTAGGTATCTTTAATAAAGATACCTAACTGTTGCATATGTGTCTTACCTAACAACCTGTCGGTATTTTATACCATTTTAATGTTCAATCTGTCAGACACTGCAACACAAGGGTATCTTGGTACAGACCTGCAATCAACTTCGACAACTTCCACTAGTGAGAGGGGCTGGATTTGAGAGGGACCTCTCAACATCTGAGTTCTTACCTCTCCTACGTCTCACCTCTTGGCGCTATAAAAAGCTCCATCCTGTCACTTCTTCTCCATATTGTTTCATACTATGGAACAATGCTCTTCTCCAGACTGAGGGACTGACCACCTCAAAACTTTAAGGGTGATGGACTGATTACATCGTCTTCAAGTATCTTCTGCTTCTATCAACTTTTCTGTACTTGACTGAAGAAGCCTACTGTGTAGGCGAAACGTTTCATAATAAAGATACCTAACTGTTGCATATGTGTCTTACCTAACACAATGAAAAGTACCTTGAAATTGAGCTCAAAGTAGCAGAAATGTGCGATTTTTACCAAAGTTCAAAAGTAAACAAATCATGCCAAGCGTCCAATACACTTCAACTGGTGAGTCTAATATTCTTTCACAAGTGTGCTGATATTATTTATACCATTTCTACACTAATGCAGTCTGCATAACAGTAAATCTTCTATTTTTTGTGAGAGGGGCCTGAGGACGTGACTAACGAACGGAGAACTTGTTATTTTAGTGCCAGGAATGTCTGTCTTGTTTATTCTGGACCCTATTTGGAAATTGGCATCTTCTGAAATTTGTGTGAAATTGGCAAAATTGCCAATTTCTAACCACTTCATTGGATAGTTGAAATCAGTAAATGGGTGGTTTTTGTACTCATTCGATAGAAAAAAACTGAGTTCTAGCGAAATAAATATGATTTTTGTCGACTAGTACACAGGAATCAGCCGAAAATAGGGCTCAAAAAAGGCAAAATCGCCGATGCGTAAAAATCGTCGAGACCGCTAACTTCGCAAGAGCATAATTCCGCAAGTTTTCCATCAAATGTTATACTTTTGGTGTCATTATGATCGGGAAAAGATTCTCTATCATTTCCTAGGAAAAAATAATTTTTTCTGAAAAAATTTTGACCCTGAGAACGAGTTGAGGAGAGGGCCTCTCAACCCTGAAAGGGTTAAAATACCACCCTTGCTGATATCTGGCGATATAAAAATTTGACCTACAGAGTTTGAAGTCATTATCTGAGCTTTCAGATACTGAACTCCAGAAAAAAAATATCAAGTAAAAATTGGTCCTACCCTTCAATATATTTTTGACTTATTTTAAGAGGTTTTCCTGGTCAAAGACTGGCCAGCGGGGGAACTAACCCCCGAAACCCTCTCCAGGTACATATACTCCTGCAGCCCAGTCTTGAACCAGGCTTGTCTGGTGCTTGCCCGGTCAAACAAGCTAATGTATCTGGTGGCCCACTGGTCCATTCATGAGAGCCTGGTTAATCCAGCACCTGGCAGAGGTACTGAAGTTTCTTCTTGAAAACTTCTACACTTTTTCTGTCAGTTTCTGATATCTTTTGGTAAAATGCTGAATAGTCTGGGCCCATGGATGTTGATACAATGTTCCCTTATTGTACCCACAGATCTCCTGCCTTTCACTTGATTTATTTTATACTTCTACTCATACATCTCACTCCAGTACACTGTTATGCCAAGGGCATTTTTCATTACTATTTAGCAAAACTGGATACATCAGCAGTGTGTTACTCACACCGGATGAAGCGAGAAGTACAGGCAAGTCTCTCAACATCTGCTGCCCCTATACACATAAGAGTACAGATACCTAGGAGTTCACCAGTTGTTATGGGTTGCATCCTAGGAGAGGGGACCTAAAGATCCCAACAGAAACAAGCCACAGTGCCTAACATTCTTAGGTTCTTGTGTATTAACCTTCTGAGATTATCTGTCCAAGGAAAATCTTTGAACTTATTACTGTACTGACTACAGGTGGTACAATGAATCAAGTGCAAGTAGACTTGATGGCAGAGAAGGTATACAAAATATTTTCTTAGCAAAACCCAAGGCAAATACCACATCCAGCATAGGGCCCTTAATTCACCATCTCTCAAGTAGATCTACAACCTTGATGCAAGTGTCACATATGTAAATTTATGTCTTAATCATAGCACCTTCAAATACAGTGGCACCCCGGTTTTCGTCCTTAATCCGTTCCAGAAGGTCGGTCGAAATCTAAAATGGACGAAAACCAAAGTAACATTTCCCATAAGAAATAATGTAAATCCAATTAATCCATTCCAGACACCCAAAAATATTAACAAAAAATACATTTTATACAGAATAACTAATATTACATACAGAAAACAATGAGAAATAAATATAAAGCACTAATTTTAATGGATAAATGAACATTTAAATCACTATTATATACCTTTATTGAAGACTCTTGTTGGCGTATGGAAGAAGGCGAGGAGGGAAGGGGGGGAGAGAGAGAGAGGAGAAGTTATTGCTTGGAAGGGGAATCCCCCTCCACTGTATTCTGAAACCAAGACAACAGTGCATAAGTGTTTGCAATAAAGCTAACAGAATCCTTAGCTCATAGCAAGATGTATAAATAATAGAAGTCCTCAGGTTATTCAACTCTATATATCTTTGGTTAGGCCTCATTTAGATTATACTGTGCAGTTTTGGTCACCGTATTACAGAATGGATATAAATGCTCTGGAAAACGTACAGAGGAAGATGACAAAGTTGATCCCATGTATCAGAAATCCTCCCTATGAGGATAGACTGAGGGCCCTGAATCTGCACTCTCTAGAAAGGTGTGGAATGAGGGGGGATATGATTGAGGTGTATAAATGGAAAACAGGAATTAATAAAGGGGATGTAAATAGTGTGCAAAAAATATCTAACATAGACAGGACTCGCAGCAATTGATTTAAATTGGAAAACTTCAGATTCAGGAAGGATATAGGCAAGCACTGGTTTGGTAATAGAGTTGTGGATGAGTGGAACAAACTCCCGAGTACTGTCATAGAAGCAAAGATGTTGTGTAGTTTTTAAAAGTAGGTTGGATAAATACATGAGTGCGTGTGGGTGGGTGAGAGTTGGACCTGACTAGCTTGTGCTACTAGGTCGGATGCCATGCTCCTTCCTTAAGTGACGTGTCTGACCTTGCTAGGTCAAGGTATGGCTTATTCCAGTGGGAGAATTGGACCTGCTTCACATAGGTCAGTAGGCCTCCTGCAGTGTACGTTCTTTCTTATGTTCTTATCTGTTAGCTTTATTGCAAACACTTATGCACTGTTGACTTGGTTTCAGATTACAGTGGACCCCCACATACCGTTGGCCTTACATAACGTTAAATCCGCATACCGATACATTTTATCGCTAAGATTTTGCCTCGCATACCGCTAAAAACCCCGCTCAACGCTGTTCGTCCGAGACGCGTCTAATGTGCGGCCTGAGCCAGCCTCACATGTTCCGCCAGTGGCATTGTTTACCAGCCAGCCTCCGCAGTAACATCCAAGCATACAATCGGAACATTTCGTATTATTACAGTGTTTTTGGTGATTTTATCTGCAAAATAAGTGACCATGGGCCCCAAGAAAGCTTCTAGTGTAAACCCTACAGCAATAAGGGTGAGAATTACTATAGAGATGAAGAAAGAGATCATTGATAAGTATGAAAGTGGAGTGCGTGTCTCCGAGCTGGCCAGGTTGTATAATAAACCCTAATCAACCATCGCTACTATTGTGGGCAACAAAACGGCAATCAAGGAAGCTGTTCTTGCCAAAAGTTCAACTGTGTTTTCGAAACAGAGATCGCAAGTGATGGAAGATGTTGAGACTCTTATTGGTATGGATAAATGAAAAACAGATAGCAGGAGATAGCATCTCTCAAGTGATCATAAGTGAAAAGGCTAGGAAGTTGCATCAGGATTTAATTAAAAAAAATGCCTGCAACTAGTGATGATGTGAGTGAATTTAAGGTCAGCAAAGGTTGGTTTGAGAGATTTAAGAAGCGTAGTGGCATACATAGTGTGATAAGGCATGGTGAGGCTGCCAGTTCGGACCACAAAGCAGCTGAAAAATATGTGCAGGAATTCAAGGAGTACATAGACAGTGAAGGACTGAAACCTGAACAAGTGTTTAATTGTGATGAAACAGGCCTGTTTTGGAAGAAAATGCCAAGCAGGACCTACATTACTCAGAAGGAAAAGGCACTCCCAGGACAAAAGCCTATGAAA